ACAAGTAAGGTGAAGAAGTGAGCAAGTGAGGCCAAGTAGGCACAAGATCTAGCATTGTACATAAACGCTGATGATCACAAGGCGCAAGTGCCTTGGTAAAGATATCAGCAGTGTTGGCCTCAAAGGCCACGTAAGCAAGGCGCAGCTGACCACGCTGCTGCAGCTCAGGAGCAAGGAAGTAACGAATAGCAATGTGCTTCGTTCTGTGCTCCAGTGTGTGCTCCCGACACAAGGCCACCATGGCCTTGTTGTCTACGTACAGAACTGGAGGAGAACGAGGCGGCTCTCCTAGGTCAGACATCAGGTAGGTGAGCCAGCGTAGCTCCTGTGCAGCCATGGCCCCCGCGTAGATCTCAGCCTCACAGCTGGAGCTGAGAACAAAAGACGAGCGGGTAAACCGCCACGAAACAGAGCCGGAACCAAGGCTGAAGGTGTAACCCTGTGACGACCGCTGCGTAGCCTGGTCGTCAGCCCAAGAAGCGTCTCCGTGACCTGTGAGGACCACTCGACGTCGCCCTCCAAGCACTAGCCCCATGCCCGACGTACTGCACAAGTAGCGCAACACCCTCTTCGCTGCAGCCATGTGCTCTGGTCGGTGTCTCCCAGGAGCAACATAGCGTGCCAAGATGCTAAGAGGGTATGCTAGGTTAGGTCGTGTGCAGGTCATCAGGTACATGAGGCAACCAACAAGCTCTGGGTACGGGCCACTCAGCTCTACGGACTCATCCGAAGGCAGAGCCGAGAGCGAGTGGCGAGTAGACAGAGGAGTGGCCTGAGGCGAGGAGTACGTGAAGTCGAAGCGCTGAAGGACCTGCTGCACCATGTGTGACTGAGTCAAGGTAATGGTGCGCTGTGCTCTGTCCCGGGTGATCTGCAAGCCAAGGTAGCTGCGCAGTTCACCCAGGTTTGTGCACGTGTGTCTCTTCTGCAGCTCAGACTTCACGTGGGCGAGTCCAGCAGTGTCAGCAATGGCAAAGACCAAGTCGTCGATGTACACGAGGATGTAGAACGGCGGCAAATAGGTGTTGGTGCGCACAAATAGCGACGGGTTGGCTGTAGAAGGAGCAAACCCAAGAGCCGCAAGTGTAGTCCTCAGTGTGTCGTGCCACTCACGGGGCGCCTGGCGGAGACCGTAGACTAGCCGCCGGAGGCTCCACTTGGTACCAGGGGGAAACGACCCAGTGAAGCCGGGTGGGTGGTGCAGCAAAATCTCCTCATGCAGGCTGCCCTGCAGGAAAGCTTTCCTGAAGTCAAGAGAGTGAGGCTCGTAGTCGCGCTGAGTGGCTATGTGCAGCAGCACCCAAAGAGTGGTCATCTTCGGGGTGGGAGAGAAGGTCTGAAAGTAGTCAACTCCCTGCCGCTGACTGAAGCCACGAGCTACGTAACGCGCCTTGACGACAGGCGGAGAACTCGGCGGCCGCTTCACCCTGAAAATCCACATGCCACTAACGATGTTCGCCCTAGGTGGGGGAACCTCGTCGACATAGGTGCCTGTGGACTTCCAGGAAGCCATCTCTGCATCCATGGCTACCTGCCACTGTGAGGAGTAGGGACCCTCGATCGCCTCAGCGTACGATCGAGGAGTCGGGATGTCTGGTGCATCCGGGTCTCCCTCAGGGGCAATCAGCGTGGACATGAGATGAGGCAAAGCAGCAGGAAAACACTGGAAGTCCTCCTACCTGTCCTCAAGGACGTCCGTGCTAAGAGCACACTCACCCCCGACGGACGGAGGACAGACAGACGCAGAGTCAGCAACAAGACTAGAGGCGTAGTCTAGACGACAGCGAGCAGCAAAGTCGACAAGCTCAGCAACTAAGGCAGACGCAGCAGTGGACTCAAAGGAAGGGTCAGTGACAACAGTAGCTAGGAGACGCATGACAGTAGGACTGGCAGCACGAAGAGAGTCAGACTCCGGGTCAGCAAGGACAGGTAGAGAGGACTCTCGAGGAGACGGCAACGGGACACGCAGAGGAGCAGTGGAAGGACGCAGTGCCATCTGGTGTGTGCCTGGGACCACAGGAGGACGCGGACGTGGAGTACGACTACTAGTGCGAGCAGCATGAACAGGCGACGCAGGACAAGACGCAGGCTCACGACGCTCAGCAAGACCTCCAGTAGGACTAGTGTAGGGAGAAGGAGCAGGCAGGGGAGAGGCGGGCTGTAACTATGACCGCGACTGGACAGGCTGTGGACACTCTAAGGGAGGAGTAGAACCAGTAGAGGGCGGGAGACCAAGAACCTGCTCCAGGAGCGGAACGAAGTACGGCCGCGGCCACGCAGCGCCTCCAGAACCAGCAGGGACAGCACCAGTACCCCGTGCGGCAGCACCAGCTCCAGCGGCACCTCCAGCTCCAGCAGCGCCAACTCCAGCACCCTCAGACGCACCAGCGCCAGCAGCACCTCCAGCGCCAACACCCCTAGCAGCTCCAGCTCCAGCAGCTCCAGCAGCTCCATCTCCAGCAGGACCGTCAGCTCTAGTACCGCCAGTTGCTCCAGCAGTACCAACTCCAGTAGCCCCAGGAGCACCCTCAATCCGAGCAGCTCCAGTACCGCCAGTACGAGCACCTCCAGGACCAGCAGCAACAGTAGCACCTCCAGCTCCAGCAGCACGGCTCTAGCGCCGTGCAAACCACTCGCTCAGGTCCTGCGGAGAGAGTAGCTCCCGCCTCGACGAAGCACCGCTAGAGGCCACACGAGCAGATCCAGCACCCCCAGGCTCCGCACCCCCAGGCTCCGTACCCCCAGGCTCACCACCCCCAGGCTCCGCACCCCCAGGCTTAGCACCCCCAGACTCAGCACCCCCAGGCTCAGCACCCCTAGACTGAGCACCCCCAGGCTCCGCACCCCAAGGCTCAGCACCCCCAGACCCAGTACCCGCAGGCTCAGCACCCCTAGCAACACCAGAGTCAACAGCTACCTCGACAGGCTCGAGTGCGTCTACCTAGGACACACCTGACGGGGCAGGACCCTCAGGGGGAAGAGGGTCTACCGGGGGGGGACCTGGCGCAAGGAAGAGCGACGGCGGGGGGAGGGGCGCAGTCCGGTAGGGGAAGAGATGGTAGTAAGGCACCGACTCGTCAAAGGTGACGTCCTGGGAGGACAGAACACGGAGCGAGGTGGGGTGGTAAAACTGCCAACCAGTTGCGTCAGGGGGGAAGCTTAGGAAGACGCAGGGAACAGAACGGGGGGACAGCTTGTCCGCAGACAAGTCGCGGACAAACGCCCGAGATCCCCAGACCCGAAACACAGACGCATCGCCAACCTTCCCCGTCCACCGCAAGGTGGGGGAGGTCTCAGGCAAGGAGACCCGGGGCTGAAGGCTGAGCTGATGCGCTGCGTATTGAACCACAAACGGCCACAAAAAAAGGGGAGCAGCCGCATGGACCATGGACGTACGAGCGACGTCCATGACCATGCCAATGCGGCGCTCAGCAATCCCGTTTTGCTGTGGAGAGGCCGGAAGCGTGAAGGTCTGGCGGATGCCCTGTGCATGACAGAAGGCTCCCAGACGGGCAGAGGAAAACTCCCCGCCTCTGTCCGAGTGCAGACGCCGAACAGGAAAGTCCGAGCCGAAACTCTCTCTAAGCTGGAGACGAGCTGCGCGGATCCAGTCGATCAACACCTTAGTGACGTCACCCTTGCTGGGCAAGGGGAACACTGTGGTGTAACGCGAGTAGTCATCAACCACCAACAGGAAGTAACGCTCCTGACCCTGGCCACGGACACGGGCGGGGCCCCACACGTCCATGTGAAGATTCTGCAACGGAGCCTCTGTCAGAGGAAACTCAGAGGAGTGGGGAGCGCCGCGCTGCCGCCCCTCGACGCAGGGAACGCACGTAGTTGCAGGCCCCGGAGGAAGGGGAGGGAGGGACCGGGGGAGACCAGAGACAAGGTAATAGGACGCCATGCCTCGGAGACGAGAGCAGGGAGGGGTGACCAAGGCGGTGGTGCCAGAGGAGAGTCTGGTGGGAAAGAAGACGACACGAGCAGGGAGCAGACTCAGGACCAGACCTGGACGCTGCAGCAAACACCTGACCCGACGCAGCTACCTGACTAGACTCAGCAGCCGGAGAAGGCTCAGCAGTCAGTGTGTAAGGCTCGACCTCGGCTGGCGGGTAAACGTGGCCAAGTGTCTGCCCGTCCGAGCGTATGTACAGTGGGTCACTCGCTGACTCGCAGGAGTGAACTGGTCAACCCCCCCATCCTGTAGATCAGCACCACTCACTAAGTTCGTAGAGAACGAGGGGAGGTAGAGACCTGACAGGGTGCCAGAGGGGGCCGCCGGACACGGTAAGACAGTGGAGAAGTGGGCAAGGACAGGACCCCCAGAGGGGTCCGCCAGGGAGACTGCAACCGGCCGACTAAGCGGCGTAAGCATGGTGCGGTCTCGAACAAAGGAGCGGGAAGCACCCGAGTCAAGGGTGAAGGTGTGTAAGGCCTGAGCCGACGTGGTACCTGAGAGAGCAGACTCACCAGCACCTGGGACAGCAGACGCACTAGCACCTAGAGCAGCAGCGTCACCAGCACCTAGAGCAGCAGCCTCAATGCCCGGGTCAGGCGTAACACAAAGGTAACAGTCACCCTCATCACTAGTAGACACAACATATATGGCAGCAAGAATAGCATCATAATCCAGATCAGTATAGCAACCCCCGACCTAAGCAGCTCGCCCCAGCGGGGGATCTCAGTGGCGTCAGGGAACTAGTGAAGAGTCTGCAGGGGAGCCTCCGTTGGAGGAAACTCCGAGGAGTGAGGGGCGGCGCGCTGCCGCCCCTCGACGCAGGGAATGCAGGTAGGGGTAGGCCCTAGAGGGAGGGGAGGGAGGGACCGGAGGAGACCAGAGACAAGGACACGGGAGGCCATGCCTCGGAGACGAGGCAAGGAGGGGTGACCAAGGCGGTGGTACCAAAGGAGAGTCTGGTGGGACAGGAGACGACACGAGCAGGGAGCAGACTTAGGACCAGACCTGGACGCTGCAGCAAACACCTGACCCGACGCAGCTACCTGACCAGACTCAGCAACCGGTGTAGACTCAGTAGTCAGTGTGTACAGGCTTGACCCTGGCTGACGGGTAAACGTGGCCAAGTGTCGGCCCGTCCGAGCACACGTACAGTGGGTCACCCGCTTATTTGCAGGAGTGAACTGGTCAACCCCCCCATCCTGTAGATTAGCACCACTCACCAAGTTCGTAGAGAACGAGGGGGGGTAGAGACCTGACAGGGTGCCAGAGGGGGCTGCCGGACACGGTAAGACAGTGGAGAAGCAAGCAAGGACAGGACCCCCAGAGGGGTCCGCCAGGGAGACCGCAACCGGCCGACTAAGCGGCGTAAGCATGGTGCGGTCTCGAAAGAAGGAGCGGGAAGCACCCGAGTCAAGGGTGAAGGTGTGTAAGGCCTTAGCCGACGTGGTACCTGAGAGAGCAGACTCACCAGCACCTGGGGCAGCAGACGCACTAGCACCTAGAGCAGCAGCCTCTCTAGCACCTAGAGCAGCAGCCTCAATGCCCGGGTCAGGCGGAACAGACAGGTAACAGTCACCCTCATCAGTAGTAGACACAGCATACATGGCAGCAAGAATAGCATCATAGTCAAGATCAAAGATAGCAACCCCCGCCCTAGACAGCTCTCCCCAGCAAGGGATCTCAGTGGCGTCAGGGAACTGGAGACGCCAAGCGTCCGTCAGGCGGCCGAAGCAGCGCTGGGTGGAGTGCGAGCCCCCGCACTGCTCACCAGCGCGGTCGCGGGTACGGAGGACGTAGGTACTGGGACTAGTACCCCCACCTCGCTGACGCCAGCGTATCACTCACGAAGCTGCTGGGGGGACAGGGTCTCACGAGTGCACTGCTGCTGCTGGCGCTGACCACCACCTAAGCTGCCCCGCTGCGCAGAGCCACCCCGACTAGCTCCACCTCCTTCGCCGCCACCTCCACCACCGCCGCCACCGCCTCCTCCTCCGCTCCCACCTCCACCGCCGCCGCCGCCTCCGCCGCCACCGCCGCCACCGAAGCCCCCACCCCCGCCACCACTCCCACCACCACCCCCACTCCCTCCGCCTCCTCCACCTCCACCTCCACCGCCCCCGCTAGCCCTTCCAGCGCCCTTGCCCCCCTTGCCCTTGCCGGTGCGGCGTCTCCCGCTAGGGGCAGACGAAGCGCCGACCGACTCGTTGCCAACGAAGTCGACGGCAGCAGCAGAGGCAACAGAGGGCAAAAGGGGTGTGGGGGAGCACCCCTCAAAGACAGGGGCACGCGGGTCACCTCTAGAGGCTCCTACAGCGACTTGGAGGCGCTCCTCGAGGAGGTCAACGGTGAGTGTGGTGGGGCAAACAGAGAGGAAGTGGTCCCTGACCGAGCGAAGGGAGTCAGGGAGCCGGGTGACTATGTAGTAGAGGGTGATGTACATGGGGGGGGGGGGGGGGGGGGTTCTTGGCGCAGAAATCAGCAGGAAGCGCAGCGCGGTAGCGAGTGTCACTAGTGCAAAGGTGCGTAACGAGATCAACGACAGTGGGAAAGGCGGTGAGGTCAGGAAACAGGTACGGTAGTATGAGGCAGCTAAGAGCAGCAGTGGCAGGGGAAGAGTAGCGTGCAACTACAGCGTCGTATAAGGTCTTAGCACTCTTGTACTAACTAAAGTGCGCACGCTCAGCGGTCGTTAAGTGGCGACGCACAGCAAGACGGGCAGCAGCATCGCGCGTGGCCCACTGTCAGCAAACAGTGCTGTCAGCATCAGCGGGTGGGGTAGGAGAGGCACCAGAGTTGAGATCGAACAGGGAGAGTCCGTCTGCCCTATCGCAATGTAGGAAAAGCTGCAGGTCATCGACCCAGACCTCGAAGTCAACAGCACGACACTGAGCATCAAAGGTAAGGACATTGGGGGTAGCTATGACAGCAGTGGTCTAGCAGGGAGTGCTCTTCACCAGTCCGGGTGGGTAGGGCCGGGGGGCGCCGGTAGAAACATGGCTGCAACAGCGGTGGCAACGGCTCGACAAAGGCAGTGGCGGCTCGACGGCGGCTCGGCGGCTCGGCTGCAGGCGACTCGGCGGCTCGGCTGCTCGGCGGCTCGGAGGCTCAGCTGCTCGGCGGCTCGGCGGTGAAGGGGCCGGGATGGCGACGGGGCCGCAAGAGGGCGGCGACGGGCCGCAAGAAGGTGGCGAGGGGGCCGCGACAGGGCGGCGACGAGGCCGCAAGAGGGCGGCGACGGGGCCGTGAGAGGGCGGCAACGAGGCCGCAAGAGGGCGGCAACGGGGCCGCGAGAGGGCGGCGACGACGCCGCAAGAGGGCGGCACTGGGGCCGCTAGAGAACGGCGATGCGGCCGCGAGAGGGCGGCGACGAGGCCGCGAGGAGCGGCTGCAGGGCCGCGACGGGCGGCGACGTGGCCGCTAAGGGCGGCGGCGGGGCCGCGAACGGCGGCGACGGGGCCACGAGAGGGAGGCGACGGGGCCGCGAGAGGGCGGCGCCGGGGCCGTGGAGGTGGGGCCACAAGGGGCCGCTGAGGGCGGCGCGATGGGTCTTTCAGGGCAGCGCGACGGGCCGCTAGGGGGCGGCGACGGGGTCGCGAGGTGCCGTGAGAGAGGGGGGGGGGGGGGGGGGGGGGGGGGGGGGGCGCTAAGGGCGGCGCAACAGTTTGCCAAGGGGAGGGCGGCACACAGGGCACGCCTCGGTCAGGGGCAACTCGATCTCAGGGCAGGAAAAAAAAAAATCGATTTTCAGTGGTGGGCCCTTGGAAGTTCCCACTAGGGAACCTGCTCTATACCATGTGAGAATTGAGGAATGAATGAACAAGCAAGCAAGTGGGTACAAGTAGGAAAACCTAAAAGTGTTGTACCCCATATTGTTTGTCAGAATGTTATAATTGTCTAGCCTGCAGTGGGGTACTCTATAGCGAGTACAACCCAATTAGGGTTTCCTATATGTATGCCAACTGCTGCTAGTGCAAACCCCTCTTCTTCATTTCCTCGTTCTTTCACATGGTATCAGAGCATCTATGCTCCTGGCCCGTGGGCCCACCTAACTGCTTCCGCTGCTACTCTGTGTTCTGCACGCCCCGTGGCGTGCCCCTCGCGCGACCCTTAGCGGCCCCGTCGCCACCCCTCTCGGCCCCGTCGCCGCCCTTCTCGGCCCCTCACGGCCCCTTCGCGGCCCCGTTGCCGCCCTTCTAGGCCCCTCGCGGCCCCTTCGCGGCCCTGTTGCCGCCCCTGACGGCCCCGTCGCCGACCTTTCAGGCCTTTTGCGACCCCTTCGCGGCCCCGTCGCCGCCCCTTCGCGGCCTCCCAGGGCGCGCGTCGGCCCACCCCCCTTCCCCCCCCCCCCCCCCCCCCCCCCCCCCCCCCCGTAACCTCCCTACACGCCATCCCGCCCTGCCCTGTGTTAGGGATTGGGGGTGGCGAGTAGGGGGTGGCGGGTGTGTGGTCTCCCCTGCTCCTCCTCCTCCTCTATCTCCCACTGCTGCAGCTGCCGCTGAGGGGTGTGGGTATGTGGGAGTCGACGGAGTGGTACTAGGGGTTGGGGTGTGAGTGCACCTAGGGTGCAGCAGGGGGTGTGTGAAAAGGGGGTGCTGTGGGAGTAGAACTAGGGTTCAAGCAGGGGGTGTGTGTCGAGAGGTGTGGGGCAGCTGGAGGAGGCTGTGTGAAGGTAGCTGTCGTGTCGCCTGCAGCGCCTGTAGTCCGTCGCCCTTGCTTCGGTAGCCACTGAGCCTGTTGCACCAGTCGCCAGTGGGTCCGTTGCTCCTGCCGCTCGTCTATAGTCGCCGAGCCAGTTACTCGAGTAGTCCGTCGCCCTTGCTTCGGTAGCCACTGAGTCAGCCGCTCCTATGCCCGTGCCTCTGCAGCTTCAGTCGTTGCCTCCCATCTTCTCTCCCTCCACAGTTCCTCCTCCTCATCACTTGCCCGCTGTGATTAACTCTAGCTTTGCTCCCTATTGTGAACTCCTGCTCTATACCTGCTTGCTTATTGTGCTGATTACACCCCAGTTTGGCTATGGGGGTGTGTCAGAATGTTATAATTGTCTAGCCTGCAGTGGGGTACTCTATCGCGAGTACAACCCAATTAGGGCTTCCTATATGTATGCCAACTACTGCTAGTGCAAACCCCTCTTCTTCATTTCCTCGTTCTTTCACATTGTCTACCCCACTACAGCCTACTCAGACTATAGCATATGAGTTTGACACTCGTCCGAAGGTGGAGCTGAAGCGAGTGACTTGTAGCCAGAGGAGTGGCCCGTGCTGAGGACCAGGTGAAGCCGAAGCGCCGAAGGACCTCCTGCACCATGTGTGACTGAGTCAGTGTGATGGTGCCGCGTGCTCCGTCCCGGGTGATCTGTAAGCCAAGGTAATTGCATAGCTCACCCAGGTCTGTGCACATGTGTCTCTTTTGCAGCTCTGACTTCACCCAGGCGAGAGCCTCGGTGTCAGCAGTGGCAAAGACCAAGTCGTCAACGTACACGAGGATGTAGAACGGCGGCAGCAAAGTGTTGGTGCGCAGAAACAGCGACGGGTCAGCAGTGGAAGGAGCAAACCCAAGAGCCGCAAGTGTCGTCCTCAGTGTGTCGTGCCACTCATGCGGCGCCTAGCGGAGACCGTAGACTGGCTGCCCGAGGCTCCACTGGGTACCAGGAGGGAACGACCCAGTGAAGCCAGGAGGGCGGCGCAGCCAGATCTTCTCGTGCAGGCTGCACTGTAAGAAAGTTGTGCTGAAGTCAAGAGAGTGAAGCTCGTAGTCACGCTGAGCGACAACGTGCAGCAGCACCCGAAGAGTGGTCATCTTTGGGGTGGGGGAGAAGGTCTGGAAGAAGTCAACTCCCTCCCGCTCACTGAAGCCTCGAGCAACGTAACGAGCCTTGAAGACAGGCGGAGAACCCGGCGGCCGCTTCACCCTGAAAATCCACATGCCACTGACAATGTTCGCCCCAGGAGGGGTAACCTCGTCGATGTAAGTGCCTGTGGACTTCTATGATGCCATCTCTGCATCCATGGTTGTCTGCCACTGAGACGAGTACTCACCCGCGATCCCCTCAGCATAAGAGCGCGGGGTCAGGATGTCTGGTGCATTCGGGTCTCCCTCAGGGGCAAGCAGCATGGCCACGAGATGAGGCGCAATGGCTGCAAGACACTCAAAGTCCTCCCGCCAGTCCTCAAGGACGTTCGTGTTAAGAGCACACTCACCCCCTGGCGGACGGAGGATAGACAGACTCAGACTGAGCAACAAGACTAGTGGCGTAGTCTAGATGACATGCAGCAGCAAAGTCAACAAGCTCGGCGTCGAAGGCAGACGCAACAGCAGACTCAAACGACGGGTCAGTGACAACAGTGGCTAGCAGACGCGTGACAGTAGGGTGAGCAGTACGAGCGTGGTCAGACTCAAGGTCTAGAACGTCAAGCAGAGAGGACGCAGGAGGGGACGGCAGGGGAACATGTTGCGAAGCAGAGGAAGGACGCAGAGCCATGAGGCGTGTGCCGGGGACAGCCGGCAAACGCTCACGAGGAACACGACGACCAGTACGACCAGTGCGGACAATGCGAACAGGCGAGACCGGACGAGACGTAGGCTCATGACGCTCAGTAAGACCCCGTGTCTGCTTAGTGTAAGGAGAAGGAGCAGGCAGCAGTGAGCCAGGCTATAAAGGAAGACCAGGAGAAGACGGGAGGATAAGAACCTGGTGAAGCACGGAGTCGGGCGGTGGCAGGGATGAAGGCGACGGCGGAGCGAAGAACAATCGCTGCTGTGCAGTGCCACCAGCACCAGTAGCTCCAGTACCTCCAACCGCTCCCGAACCTCCAGCTCCATCGCCTCAAGCGCCAGCACCTCCACCAGCTCCAGAACCTCCAGCGCCAGCACCTCAAGTACCAGCACCTCCAGCAGCTCCAGAATCTCCAGCGCCAGCACCTCCACCAGCTCCAGAACCTCTTGCTCCAGCGCCTCCAGAGCCAGCACCTCCAGTACCAGCACCTCAAGCAGCTCCAGAACCTCCAGCTACAGCACCTCCAGGACCAGTACCACCAGCAACAGCACCCCCAGAACTGGCACCTCCAGTCCCAGGGTCTCCAGTCTCAGTGTCTCTAACTGCAACACCCCTAGAACCGGCACCTCCAGCTCCAGGACCTCCAACCTCATAGTCAACAGCAGCACCTCCAGCCCCAGCAGCTTCAGTACCTCCAGTACGAGCACCTCCGGGACCAGCGGCTCCTGGAACCCCAATAGAAACACTTCCAGTAGCAGAGTCACCAGCTCCAGCGTCTCCTGTAGTAGGGCCCCCAGCTCGAGCAGCGCGACCCTGACAGCTAACGTACCACTAACGCAGCTGCTGTGGGGAGAGAGGGACAGCGCCAGCTCCAGTGCCTCCAGCGCCAGCGCCTCCCGTAGCAGGGCCCCAAGCTCTAGCAGCGCGACCCTGACGGCTAACGTACCACTCACGCAGCTGCTGTGTGGAGAGAGGGACATGCCTACGAGAGCGTTGCGGCTAGGCACCAGTGGAGCGACTACGGAGGCGGCCGCTCCAAGGAGACTGCTCACCAGGCGCCTCACTGCCCCCAGGCATAGCACCCCTAGACTAAGAACCCTCAAGCTCAGCACCCCCAGACTCTTCACGCCCAGGCTCAGCACCTCCAAGCTCCGCACCCTCAGGCTCAGCACCCCCAAGCTCCGCACCCCCAGGCTCAGCACCCCCAGGCTCCGCACCCCCAGGCTCAGCACCCCCAGGCTCCGCACCCCCAAGCTCAGAACCCCTAGAAGCAACACCCCAAGCCGCACCACCCCCAACAGGACCTGAGTCACTAGTGACCTCAACCAACTCAATCAAGGGAGGAGGGTCTATCTGAGACACACCTGAAGGAGCAAGTTCTGGAGCGAGGAAGAGTGGCGGGGGGGGGGGAGAGG